GGGGGGGGGGGGGGGGGGGGGCTGCTTTGTGATTGAGGTGACGTGTGTGTGTGTGTGTGTGCGTCAGGGCCGAGTACAAGGAGCTGTGCAAGCGCGCCCTGGAGCTGCCACAGCAGTGCACCGACTTCATGTACCTGTTCCAAACCGCCTGGCAGAACCTCCTGCACACCGCCACTGACGGTACGGTGTGCCATGCCACCCGCACATAACATACGCACACCCACGTGTCTGTTGTGTGTGCCTGGCTGCGTCTGGTGGATGGATGGATGGATCTGTGTGTGTGTGTGTGTGTGTTTGTGTGTGTGCAGCGGTGCGTCACTATGTGTGTGAGCTGCTGACATCCCCAAATAATGCCGACCATCTTAAGGGGCTGCTTGGCCTGACACCAGGGAGGCTACGGGAGATGCTCGACGACGGGTCAGCCACCCAACGAGCGAGCCAGAGAAAGGCAAACACGGATGCACAGCACACACAGGCAGGCTCCCTCCCCTGGTTGCCAACAGGCTGGACCTATATGAGCTCGACCAAGACAGAGACGGAACATTCTGTAAGCCAAGCCAACACACACATCACATCAGCCGTGTGTGCCTCCCTCTCCCCAAAACCCCACACACCCTATTTACCCCACCCCCAGATGGCCGTGAGCTCTCTCGCCCCCAGTGGGACTCCCTGTTCGCCAATCTGAGCCGCATCTTCGGTGCGAAGCTGCTGCTAAAGATAGAGCGTGAGAAGGACAAGGACAAGAAGAGCAAGGCGGCCTCCCCGACGGCCGCGCCGCCGCCGCGCGAGTCGATAGTTCTGCGTGTGCCGTGTCCCCATGTGCTGGCCCGGTGTCTGCTGCACCTTGACGCCACCAAGGCCACGGCGGTGCACTTCGAGATGTCCTTCAGGCCGCTGTCGATCAGGGCCTTCCATCTGGCTGTCATGATGCGCAACGCCACGGTCGCCCTGCTCAACCACAAGATCAAGTAGGTGCCACTCCACTCCCCCCACCCCCAGGTCTCTGTCTCTTGGTGGATGTTTCTCTCTCTCTCTCTCTCTCTGTGTGTGTGTGTGCGTAGGTATGCGAATCAGCTGGCCCGTTTGTCATCCCACGCCATGGCGGGGCCACCGCCCCCGCCGCCAGCCGAGCATCCCCACCAGCAGCAGCAGCAGCAGTATCCTTGTGTGGACTGCCCCCTGTTCCCCTTTGAGAGCGGGACACTGCAGAAGATACTAGACCCCAAGGCTGCCGACTGGGATGGGTTCGCCAAGAGTGTGGGGGACGTCAACGAGCCCATGAAGGAGAGGGACGTCTTCAGACGGATTCGATACAGTGAGTGGATTGGATGGATGGACGAGGACAGACAGACAGACAGACACACAGACAGACAGCAAAGAGGGAGGGGGTGGGTCGTCGTCACCCATGTGTGGTGTTGTGTGTGTTTGTCAATCTATCAGTGTTGGGCAGGAGCTGTCTCGGGCAAGACCTGCTGGTACAAACAAGGAGGGCCCTGAGGAAGGCCTGGCCCCACTCATGCGCTTGATGAGTGAGTGGCTGGATGCAGGTGGTTCATGCCTGTGACGACACGACTAGGCATCTGGCGCATCACCTGATCGACCAGCGGGGGATGGCCGCCGCGGCTGGCGCCATCGTCATCGGCAGAAAGCCCTCACCAGGGAGGGAGGGGCGTGCCGAGTGATGGATCGATGGATGGATGGAATGAATCGCACAGATTGACACTTGTGCGTGCCTTGCCGTGCCGATGGATGCCATCCATCGATGGGGGCCGAGGGATGCGAAGTGGTTTTTCCTTCCTGCCCGCCCCTCACTGACTGCTATGGTGAATCAATGTCTTGCTTGTCTCACAAATGAGCTCCAACGCACGCACACACGTGACCGACCGACCGACCGACCGATCGATAAATGGTCTTGAGATGACGGGATGTATGGTCATGCATGCATGCCAATCCAATCACCACACGGCGTGCGCGCCGTCAGCTAAACGCATTCATTCTACAATACACACACACGACAGCCTAGCCTCCTCTCCTCTCATCTCTCTGTCTGTCTGTCTGCCTTGTCTATCTACACACGACCCCTGCTCTTCCCCTCGCACCACTTAAGACACTCACCCCCGCTTTCCCCACCGGCCCCCCGCCACCCATCGCACCCCACCTCCCACACATCCGCAACACCGACATAGCTTGTCGACCCCTGGTTGAGGACGGCCGCACACTCACACCTTTCACACCCACACCCACCACAGTCCTCTTATCGCCCCGCCAGTCGAGTACCAGTGACGTCGGCACTCCCCCCTGAGCGTCGTCATCGGCACCATCGTCGCCACCAGCGGCCGGTAACATCATCGACACAGATGACGGCGAGGGCAGCTTCCGACGTCTCCTGGGTTTGCGCACAAAGCGGAGAGAGGGTGGGGGTGGGGGTGCAGGGGCAGCGGCAGGCACAGACACGGCGGCCCCATCATCACCGGTGTTGCTGTCACGCGGGTCGATAGTGGGGAGGCGTGCTTGCGGGGGTGGGGATGGGGGTGTGGGTGGTCCTTGCCTCGGTGCTGTCTGTGGCTTCTTTGTGCGGGGACGTGGGGCGAAGAGAGGCATCTCGGACACAGCGATCTCAGCTACTGGTGCTGGTGGTGTGCCTGTGGTGTGGTAGCCCTTTTTCCTTCTGTGAGCCTTGTAGCGGTGCCACCTGCTGCCGCGGACACTCTGGCTCAGCCACGTGCTGTTGCAGGCCATCGCCAGCTGCAGCAGCTCAACTGCCGACAAACAAACGACAAACACTCCAAACAGCGGGTGGGTGCAGATGCATCGACACGTGTGTGTTTGCCTCTATCTAATCTACCACGGTCGCGGTTCTCGTATTGGGGTCCGACGGCCATGTCCAGGAGTGACACCTGCAGCCCCTCGCTGGGCAGCTGGTCCACAGACATCTCCTCCACCTCGTCAAAACACTCCTCCTCATCCTCTTCGCCCTCACTCTCATAGCCATCAACGTCGGTGGTCTCAGGTCGGCTGTCGCTGCCCACCACATCCGTTGGCGCAACTGGCATAGCTCGGGGTGCCTCTGCCGGCCGCGAGAGCAGGGAGCGTGAGATGCAGACCTGCTGCAGCCACGGCTCGAGCAGATGGAGGCCGCCCTGCACAGGGAGGACGGCCAGAGCGGCCAACTCAGAGGGGAGGGGGCCCATCGTGCTGCCAGCCACCGCTTGCTGTGGCTGTGGGCCACCTTTGAGTCTTTCTCGTATTGCGTATGGGGTGGGTGCTCGTGTGCCTGTGGCGTTGCCCAGGGCGGCCGTGTACCGCACACACCAGTCGCTGCAGCGCGCCTCGGCATACATAGCCACACACCAACGAATGGCTGCAGACACGGTGGCAGTCAGTCGACACAAAAAGACGAAGCACATGAGATGCGAGTCCCTGTGCAGCCATGCCATGCGCACCGCAGCTTACCTTCTAGGTAGTCATCGACAGCAGGAAACATGGTCTCGACGGGCGGGGGGCGGGAAGATGACACAGAGGGGGGCGGCACGGTAGGAGCACTCGGTGAAGCCTTCACGGCAGTAGGCTCTGTCACGTTGCCCGGTGTGCACGATCCGTCCAGCTGCCACCCAAACCGGGCCAGTTGGCGACACAGAGGAGGCGACAGCTCCTCCAAAGCCTGGCAGGCACCACACACAGCTGAGCCGATTGATTCGTGGGTGTCTGTCTGTGTCTCTCTCTCGCTGACGCACTCACGTGCATGACGGCGGACGCCTTGGCCTGCTTGATGCTGGCCGCCGACCGGCCCTGGAAATGGTGGGAGGACAGCAGTGCTCCCTCCTCGGGTGGTCCACTGTCACCGCCACCACAACCACCATGTTGGACGGCGAGTGTGGCGTTGCGGATGTATCCGCCCGGCACACTGGCCCTCTCCTCATCCAACATGAAGGCAGACGATCCGAACACCTTCTTCTGCACACACACACACACACACAGACTCGGTTGTTTGTGAGTGGGAACACAGGTGGGCAGGTAGGCACACACCACACCATTTTGAGCAGGTTGAGTACGGCTGAGGGGTTGCCGACGGCACGTTTCTCCTCATCGGTCTCTAAGGACTGCAGCAACAGCAGTGTCTCATGCTCCTGTGCACACACAGAGAGAGAAATGTGTTAGGCCGCCTCTCTGTCTGTCTGTCTGTCTGTGTCACCAACTGACCGCCGTCTGGTCGATAGCTGAGGTCTGCTGCTCCTCCTCTGCTTGCTCAGCGTTGGCTCGTTGCTGGCTTCTCCTGCGCTGCATCTCCAGGTGGGCCACCATGTCTGTGGCCACACGACGGTCCTGGGGAAATGTCGCCAGCAGAAACTGCACAGCATAGGACACAACAGGCTGTGTATTGCCATAGTTGAGCGTTGTCCATCTGTGGTGTGCCTGATGTCATACCTTGCCGATGCACTCCCTCTTGGCGGTGGCCTTGTCTGCGGCAGTGGCCTCCCACCGCTGTAAGGCCTCGTCCGCCTTGACCTGCACCGTCAGAACGGCCTTATGCCCTTCTGGGGCCGACTCGAAGTCCACCTGTGTGGCAGACAGACACAAGGCGCACGAGAGAAGACGATTGTCCACACGCACTGCACCCGAGCTGCCCTGTCTCCCTGACCTGGACGGCGTGTAGGCGTTTCTGTTGGATGCAGTCGTTGAGGATGCCGGCAGGAGCGGCAGCCGAGAGGCGCTTCTCCTCACCTGTCAAACTGTCCGTCTCCTGCACACACAGCCAGCCACACAGCCACAGAGTGAGTGACGACACACATCACATGTGTGGTTGCTGTGCGCCCACCCCACCCCAGCGACCGACCTGCCATTGCCGCCAGATGACTCTGTGAAGTGCCTCGAGGGAGACGACGAACTCCCAGCACCGGTGCAGCTCGTCGATGAGAGCACACAACATTTCCGGGTCGAACGACACGCGCACACCGCCATCCCCTTCCCCATTGCCACTGCCGCCATCTCTGACGTCGATCTGCACAATGGTCCTGTCCGCGAACGCCTTACGACGCTTCAGCTGCAACACACACAGCACAACACAGACAGAGCACACACGCCTGGACAGATCTCGTGTGCCTCGTGTGTGGGGTGGGTAAGCGCTTGCCTGTTTGTATGCCTCGAGCAGGTTGTCGAATCCCACCCCAGGCAGCCGCGGCACGTAGTCGTTGCCATTGAGGATCATCAACAGGATGAAGTCCAGCCGGGCCGCCCACTTGTCCACGTCGATGCTGTACCACTTGAGCACCTCGCACAGCTTCCGCAAAGAATAGGCACGGAATGGCACCACCTCGCCGGGGGGGACAGCCGCTGAGGCCTGCCACCAGGCCATGCCATTCCATCCGGACAGACAGGCCAGACGAGCGTGTGTGTATCCGTGACGTGGGTGACAGTCATATGTGTCAACACAGTCCGTACTTGCTTCTTCTTCTGCGTCTTGGGGTGGGGCTTGCTGCGCATTGTGGGTACGAGCACGTGAATATCGAGGACCTCCGGAAGAGCCATCGCCTGCACAGACAGACACATGTCGGCGGGGGTGACTTGGGTGGATTGGATGAGTACAGACAGACAGTACGTGCCTGCAGGAGGAGGTCGGCATCGCCGCCCACGATGCAAATCCGGGTGTTCTGCTGTGTGTGTGTGGCCATGCCCGTCATGAGCCAGTCGAATATCTTGAGCTCGCCCTCACCGGGCGACCGAGACCCCGAGATATAGAATCTACACACACACACGTGCAGTGCAGTGCACAGCACACAACACGATACGACCCCACACTGACTGTTACAGACATACATACACTACACGAGTGTGGTGCCCCCGCCCCCCCCCCCCGCTGGTGTCTTGTCTGCTCACATCACTCACTCACGTGGATGGCCTCCTTCCTTTGTCCATTTGTCGCTTCATGCACTCGAGTGCGATGGCGGCGACCGTCTTGTCCATCTCGTCCATCACACGGGTGCCAGGGGAGAGCGCTAACTTCTCCAATGTCTTCGCCCTGCACAATATATGCAATCAATCAATGGACACACGCACGTCGACGCACTCGCAGGTACGTCTGTGCGTCTGTCTGTCTCTCTCTCTCTCTCTCTGTGTGTGTGTGTGTGTGTGTGTCTCTGTGTGTGTGTGTACCTCTTCTTTTTGTCTGTTGGCAACGGTGCGAGTCGCCTCTTCCTCTGTGTGATCAACTTGGCCAGGGGTGCGGAGCCATCGATCGCTATCACCACACTGCACACGCCACACGTACGATACACCCACTGGTCTGTCTGTCTGTCTGTCGTCGCATGGCATGACCATCCCGCCATCCATCCATCCATCGCTCTCTGTATCCACGCATTGCTTTGCCTGCGCGTCGGTCTGAATTGGCCCAGCAGCCGCCGTAAGCGAAACCGCAGCCCACGAGAGACGCTCGCACCCTTGCCTGTCATCGCCTGCCGAGCCGAGCCGACACACATGCAGGGAGGGAGGGAGGGATGGAGGGAAGAGTCGATTGTGCTTTATCGTGGCATGCATAGACTGCTCTGTCAGATGGTTGTGGTGCACGTGCCTGGTGCAGCAGCTGGTTCAGGTCAATGCACAGATGGCTGCAGGGGGCGAGCGTCGTCGGGTCCTCGTTGACGGCCTCCTGCAAGCACACAGACAGACAGACAGACGTGACACAAGATCGACACGCCAATAAATCCCATAAGATGATTCTGTCTGTCCATCTGTCTGTCTGTCTGTCCTCGATATATCAAGCAGGACAGGTGCCTTCCGTTGTGTGGTTCATGCACTCAGTGCACTGATCGATCGGCTCGCCTTGAAAGTGGCCTCGAAGAACTTGTGGAAACCAGCGATGCCCGCTGTGGCCATCCACACCAGCCCGTCCACCACCAGCAGCGCCAGCACAAGTTTCACCATGATCCACATCATCGCCTCTCGTCAGCTTTCGACGCGACCATGCTCATGCACACAGATCCCGTTCGAATCGATGGCATCACCGCCCTAGTCCCAATGCCGCCCGCGGCCTAATGAGTTAGGGCCGACAGCGCCGTTAACCGGAAGCCGTCGGCGTAGGACACAATACATCTCGACGTGAGATGGTAGAGTTTCGGGAAGAAAAAGAACTAGTAGTTCCGAGCTCATAACTTTTCAAACCCTAGGGGCTCGTAACCTCACACCCTAACCCTAAACCTTTTTGCGAGCTAAGCTTGCGATTGGAATGAATCCTCTGAGTCGTTGTTCGTTGGAAGATTAGAGGAGAATGTGGAGTGCGACCCATACGGCATGCACTCGGCGCTCAGAGGAGTGATCGTCTGAGCCTC